ATTATGTACATATGTATTAACAAAAGTGTGTATTTTTAACATATGTACTCGCGCGAGTATGTAAATTTATCTGTATTCGGCTGCTATGAAAATTAAAAATGTCGATGAAATTGGCCTGACGCGATGCGTTTGTTAAACGTATGTATGCATGTACATATGTAGATAGAACAGAAAACTTTTCACTGCGTAGAATTCGCGAAGTTATTGTAATTGTTGTATTCATTATGAGTTTGGAGGAAAAGGCGTTTTGAGGTTGGCAGTACACTGTAAAAAAATTTCAGAGCTTTCACTCTTCTCAACTAGTAGCAGAGCTTTCAGATTTTTACGAAAGCTCTTAGTTTCCCAACATAGTAAATCAAGCAGAAAATTTACCATTCTAGAACATCTAGAGACAGTAATAGAGATACATTCGAAGTTCTTTATTTTCTGTCGAAAAGCGTCTTTTTTTTTAGAAGTACATTCCCTGCTGTAAGGTCGAGGAGCACTGAGCAATATCAGAGGTCAGTCATTTCCCTCTTTTATTTATTCCAAAAAGCAAGCCAAATGGTTCGCAGAGGTTGAAACCTGCAGAAAAAATACATCTGTATACTTGGATGACCTGCGTCTCAATGGACATTTTTATTACCTTGCAGCCTAAGGTCCGAATGAGTTTTAGAAAACGTATAAAATATTTTAGACGTCCCATTCACTAGTGAGGTTATAACCATGTCAATCCCTCATAAGAACGGATAGTAAAATACATGTTATACAATAGATTCTCAAACCACTGTGGAGACTACAATCTCGCAGGGAACTGAAGCCTAACCAAAAAGATGGTAAGTCCACCTGAGTACATATCCGCTACGTTTCAAAAAAACTAAACCTGTAACCGTACGAGCAGCTCTTTGAATTTTGCAAGAGCAACACAGTTACCAGGTATGAGAAAGTCTGTAAAGGTGCGATACGAAAGCTCTCGAAAACTACGTTTTTCAAAACACAAGTACTCTTTAGGCGATGTTCTTCTCCATCATCTTCGTTATTGACATAGGCACCGCTCATGGTATTAAAGTCGAGCTAGCAACAAACAAGAATTTCAGGCATAATGAAAAGGGCATATCCCAAGTTGGAGCCAGGTAAAATGTAGTTTGCCATTTCTTTTGCTTCTAACACTATATTACTCTCTATTTCACAACGACTACTTCTAATCCCGAACTGTTCTCAATCAACCGAACAAGATGACCTAGCCGACATAGCCGTTGTCTCTTGATTCGCTGAACTGTGTCACTACCGTCGTATATCTTATAGAGCTCAGAGTCTAATCTCTAAGACCGCTACAGGCGAAATTTTCATGCTGCCATCAACTTCACTAAAGATTCAGAGGTCGCTCACTACATGACGTAAAGTCTTCTAGAATTGTGGCGTTCGGAGGCAGCTTCGTATAAACTGTTGGAAAACCATCAAGACGCAAAACCACTAATTTGATGAGGAGCTCAACATCAGCTAGGTCATCATTCATAAATCGTTCGCAAAACTTTTCTTTCGAAAGCTCCGAGCGCCGGTTCATCGATGTGGTCTTCGTCCATGCTTCTGCTACATGTAGCACGTTGTGTATAATAAGCGACTTGCATGGTTTGTATGTTTTTCGTCGAGATAGGACTTTACTTCTCAATCACCTATTTAGTGCAAGGTAGCACCTGTTGGCAGCTAACACATAATAGGTCCAGTAAAAAATCAACGGAAAATATGAAAGAAGCTCGATGAATGGTGTCAGGATTTACAATGTTTGGTGGTACCGACTAGGAATCATCTACTATGAGTTGCTCCCCTAAGGCCAAACTATTAATTTGAATCAGTAATTGTCATCAATAGGACCGTCTGGAGGAACCAATCACCCACAATCACCTTGTTTCTGGCGACAGGAGGAAACTTTGTTTCATCAGGACAACGACAACCTGGTTGGGAGATTCTTATGCATCTACCTTATAGTCCGCATCTTGCACCAAGTGCTTACCAACTGTTAGTGCCTATGGCGAATGATTTGATTGGTGAAGAATTGGCCTCAACAGAAGCTTGCGAAATCGATTGAATCTCAACTTCAGAGCGAAACATTTCCCAAATGCAGTGGAATCTTTTACAGTATAAAATCAATTCGAAATTTGAATTTTATCAGGGTTTACCAACCAATAGCTCATTTGCCCATGCGAATATCACGAAATAAAAGGTAGGATATTCACCACGTACGGGCAGAGAGAGATAAAAATTTTAATTGTTTTCAAAACAGTTGCGGCGGAATTTCAAAATGACTTATTATCGCTAAGCGATATGTAAATTTTCGACAATTGCAAAATGTAAAGATGAAATCTACACAACAGAGCTACAAGCAAGGGTTGCACGTAGCGTATATAAGCAAGCATGGAAGCATGGTAGTACGAGACCACAGCCTGTAGGCTTGCCGACAAGTTTAACCCCAACGTCAATGGATTAACCAAACTTGGATGACTACATTATCCAGTATATAAATACGCTGCTACATACAGACGTATACATTTATATATGTAGCAGGATAGATTTCTGACACGAAACTTCAATGTTGATGAAAATCTTTCGTGAAATCTTAGAAGAAATCTATACAACCAAGAGCGTCAAGCTCAGCTGTAGTTATGTGCGGATGTGTATTTGCATGTTTGTGTGTGTGTGTGTGAGTTTGTTGTCATTTATTATACGCTTGCTGTATTTAATTTGAAGCGCATCTCACGCCCAGACGAAGTCTGTACTCTGAAACTATAGACGTGTTGTTGGCATTAAACTCAGTTGGGCACGCCGTGTGGTTGTCTGGCTGGCAGTCAGAGTGGGAGAGCTGTACGGCAAAAACTAATGTTTGTCTTACTTAATCTTTGATTTGTTCTTCAAATGTAAACGACAGGAATTAATTTAGATAAATGATTTTTGAAGATTTTCGCTGCCACTTGATATGAGGGAAATCAGGAAGGAGTTGAAGGAGGAGTAGAAGAAGTAGAAAAATGTGTGGGAAGTTGCTTTCGAATTGTACTTGTTCTTCCTCGCTGGTATGCCAAGCTATTCGCCGCCTGTCAGTGTATCCATCATCAGCAATACAGCGAGCATGAGTCAATCAAACGCGTTTGGGCATACAGCCCACCAGCTGATGTTAGAATTAATTGATGCTGCCTCTACGCACGTTGTTCCTTGGAATTTGTCTATAAGCTCTATGCGAGTCCTTTAAAATTTCGAAATTGTTTACGCAAACAATTTTCGTATTGAAATTTGATTTATTTGCTAATTTGTTTGTAATGAATTTTCGCCTTCCTCTTCAAGCCACAGCGCCGAAATATTACAGTGGCAGTTCCTTGAAGTATTTACAAATGCCTCTACTTTTCTTCTAATCGTTTTCTTAAGCATTTAATTGGTTAGATAAACAACGAGTGTGGCGGCTGGCGGCTGGCGGCCGGATCAAAACCGGAAGTTTGGAATTTGTTATTCGTTTGCTTCATTTCCGCATCATTGCCTTTATTTTGGCTAATTTCTTATATATATATATATCTTCATATATATAGGTTATCATCTCAAGCTATTCTCTCTTCTTTCGACAAGTGATTTCTTCTGGCCACCAGCGCTTTGCCTCTGCACCGAGTGAAATAAATTTATTTGCTTTCGATTTTCTCTATCATTTGCTCATTTCAATTATATCGTAAGCTGCGCAGCCTATCTAAAAAAGTATGTTAGAGTGTATGTATATACAATAAAAGCATTGTAGTAGAAGTGAAAAATTGATTTTGAAACTATGACGTAATTCCCTGTCTGTGTGGGCATCTGTTGGCTGACACTACGCGCCGCTTTGAAGTGTGACGAAGCAATGAAAAATAACTTTTGTTGGTTACTTTGAAGTTACTTCTAATGCTAATTTCGTTTATTTAGAAAGTACGTTTAGTTTTTAATTACTTTTCAAATTGTAATAACTTTCTATTATGAGCTTTTTATTGAGAGTACTTTCCAGCGTCTGCTCACCAGACGTGCTGCTGCGAGTGGGCGGCGGTCTTGAGGCTAATATGTGCAAAATTTATACCAATTCGCGCAGAATTTGGGTTTTGCCGCTTAAAATGAAAGACACCGGTTGACAGTTGGCAGCTGGTTGAGGTAATCGTAAGACTAAAGGATGCGATGGACAGCACTAGGACGGTCATGAGTAAGTCTCTGTGGCATATACTACAGCGGTCATATTTGGCGTAGAGGAGAGAATCCGTCACCCAGCCCAAGGTCTCAACAAGGTATCGTCCACACAAAACGCAATAAAGCAAAGAGACAAGTGCCTGGAACTTACCTATAAGCGCTAACCACATCACATGGTCAAAAGCGCATAGCAATTGTCCGCCCGAAACAAACAAAGTAGCGGGTATGGCTTCTTCTTAGAATAAACTAAAGAGGAGACCCCACGGTTAGTGGCAAGTTATCGTATCTGAAGGACATGAGTTCGTTGGACCTTATCCTTGAAAAGCTCGTATAATAAGAATCGAAACACAATACCTTTTCATAGATTTCAAAAAACGTTCAATTTTTTTTATTCCATTTCATTTTATTTTTTTTCATTTTATTTTATTTTATTTTAGTTTATTTTATTTTATTTTATTTTATTTTATTTTATTTTATTTTATTTTATTTTATTTTATTTTATTTTATTTTATTTTATTTTAGTTTAGTTTATTTTTTATTTATTTTGCTTTATTTTATCTTATTTTGTTTTATTTTACCTTTTTTTTCCTTTTAATTTATTGTTATTAATTATATTTATCTTAATTTTATATTATTATATTTTATTTTATTTTATACTATTTTATTTTATTTTGGTTTATTTTATTTTTATTTATTTTAGTTTAGGTTTTTTCTATTTTAATTTAATTTACGTTGTTTTGTGTTATTTTATTGTTATTTATTTTTTGTTTAAGAAATTAAAAAATTTGTAGTTAAAGTATTTATGAAGAAATTTACTATTGTATAAATATATTTATTATTTTTACTATTTAACTATTGCACACAAAAGAGAACAAAGACAAAGTAAAACTGGTGTCACTATTGATTTGCTATTATTCTACGTTCATTCAATAATTAATTATTTATTTTCAGTAAAACATTAATATCACAGAGTTGAACAGGCTTGTTTGTTCGGCTCATCCACATCACACGACTTTGGCTTCTCAGATTTCACTGATTTTCTTGCATAGACGACAACCAACTTATAAGGTGTAATAAAATTATAATCATCCTTTTCACTATCATATTCACGAAGCTTCATGTCGTCTACACATAGCGTAATATCCTCCAAGAACTCTTCGTGCTTTGATTCGGGCATAAACTGCAAGAACGGGCAGATCGCTCTTATATTATCTACAAAAACTGAAGTACATAAATTTGTTAAATAAAATATATTAAACACGGGCTACCTTTCACTTTCTGTGTGCCTTCGTAAATGAAAACCTCTTCTCGTATCTGAACTGCGATGTCTTCATAACCAGTTTCTTCCAAAAGTTTTTTAAACTCCGCTCCCGGATCATCGCTCAAATGCAAAGGTGAGATAAATTTCATTGTATCCTTCATGTAACAACGCCATTTCTCTCTCTCTGCCAGTGTCAAGTAAACATCGTATATGGGATTGGTTGCAAGAAAGGCGAGTAAAATATCACCACCATCAACGCGTAACAATTTATTCATATTCTCCAGAGCAAGTCTGTTTGGAGAGAAGTATTTAATTTAAAACGAGCCTTAAGGAATCAATTTCAGTGTGAAAAAATTCGTACACACACCTTTGATCTTGCACCCAATGCAAACAATAAAAGGAGAGCACATGGTCAAAACGTCCGTTTAAATGCTCTGGAATTTCCTTACAAGCGATATCGAGCACTTCAAAAATTGCGCGTTCAGTTTCACCGTAATTTTTGCGCGCAAATTCAACCATCTTCTCTGAGCAATCGGTCGACATCACTTCGTCAAAGTTAGGCGGGAAGAGTGGATAAATATTTTCCATAAGCACATTTCCGGAACCCGAACCCACATCGATTATCTTATCACCACCATCACGACGCCATTGCATTACATCGTAGAACTCTTCGAAAATCTGCTTCGCATCACGGCGCTGCACAGCACTGGCACGATGATAGAGTGAAGCATGATTCATGTCGACTTGACGCAAAGCTTTTGAGAAATAATATACGTAGCTAGAAATTCAAAGTTAATTCCTTAATTATCCGTTAGTATGAGAACACTGTTACTTGTAAACGCACTTGCGGCCCGACACTTCCGAATCGCACACTTGACGCTGAACTTTTGAAACACTACTACTTCAGAACAATGCTTTTTTATACAAATTCAACGATTATGGACAACAGATCACTAACAGTATACGCCGCCACAGCACGGGTTCAGCATAGAGCCACACTCACTGATGCTCACACTCGCTCACCGTCACCCACCTTACAAAACTAAAAACAAATGGCTTGAAATAGGCATTCATTTAAATTTGTGTTATTTCATTCAAACGCCTATTTGCTGTGGTCTTTACATACATACATATGTGATAAAAATCTCGACGAATAAAAGTCTTCAAACATTGTTCGACGCACACAATAAAAAATTCAAATGAGCGGAAAATGACGTCAGCAGTATGAGCCAAACGTTGTAATGATGTAAAGAATGCATACATACATATTAATATAAATTGGACATGTATGAGTGAGAGCGCATAGAACGATCATTAGATACTAAAAGCTCTCTGTAACCTAACAAACTAAGTTTTTATTCGAAATTTGGAAATTATAATAGAACACTCACTTTACATATCTCGTCTATGTATATGGTGTATACACATGTATGTATGGTGCAATGAATGAAAAGTACGACCTGATTTAGGTTGAGTATGTCTTAAAAACTCAACTCAACCTAAAATTTATCGGTGTTTAGCGATTTTTTTTTTAAATTTAAAAAACTGACAAAGTTTCCTGTCAGCACTTTTACTATATGAATTTAACCGAATTTCTCTAGAAACTAACTTTTATGGGGTAGTGTAGTCGAAGACAGAATTTTTTCCAGTCGAAAAATTCGAAGAAAAAAACAACTTTATATTTCTGAACTGGCAAGAACTCTACTTCATGACCCTTCGACTTGTAGTATCTACTGCTAACCAGCCGCATTTGTAAACTGTTACTGATGATGGAAAACGTCTTTCTCTTAAAATATGTTTACTACATAAATACAAAAATTAAAAATGCAAAATAAATACTATTACGAATTAAAATACTTGGCTTAAAACATTTCATAAAATAAAATAAAGTTTAACGTAAAATAGACGTTAAATAAGGCTAAACAAAAAAAAATAGCTGGACATAATTTAAGCTATATATAAAATGTGATTTAACATAAAGTTTTACTTACCATAAAATATTGTTTGACATAAAATTTGGCTCGGCATTAAATATGTTTGACTTTGAATATTGCTGCCCTCAAAGTTTTCGCAAAATAAAATGTGAAAAACAAAAAATTTGTTGTGAATTAAAAATTTGCTACAGAAATATTAAGGTATTTGAAATCAAAAAATTCTGAAAAATAAACGGTTTTTGTAAACAAAATATTGTAGAGCTATTGGGTTGCCCAAAAAGTAATTGCGGATTTTTTAAAGGAAAGTAAATGCATTTTTAATAAAACTTAGAATGAACTTTAATCAAATATATAATTGCCATTTTATTCGATAACCTTTTGCCATCTTCAATATTAAATAAATAAAATGAATAAAGCTTAATGGAATTCGATTAAATTTATTTAAAATAAATAATCAAAGCCAAATAATTGAAATAGAATGAATCAAACTAGAAAAAAGATATATTAAAATAGTGTTAATATAGAATGAAAGGATTTCGAAACATAAATAGAAAAAATTCAATAAAATTAGCTAAGTTAAAATATTATTAAATTAAATACTTCAAAATAAATAAAAGATATACAACAAAACTAAATTAAGAAATTAAAACAAAAACTTAAAACAAAAATAATATAAAAAAGAAGTTGAAATAAATTGAATGGAAATGGAAAATAAGAGATTAAGAAAACATTAAAAATTAATTAAAATTAAATTGTTTATTAAAAACACAATAAGAAGGGTTTATACCTTTTATGAGCATCTTCCTGGCAAATTTAGTGTTCCACGCTCATTGAACTTCTGGCCTTTACCTGCAAAAAACTGAACCAAGTGCAATTTTATAGCCTCATCATTGCCGACAGTTTTACCATTTAAGGAGTTCTGCAAAGATCGAAATAAATGGTAGTCTGATGGTGCAAGGTCAGGGCTATATGGTGGATGCATCAAAAGTTCCCAGCCAAGCTCACTCAGTTTTTGGCGAGTGACCAAAGATGTGTGCGGTGTAGCGTTGTCCTGGTGGATTATGACACCTTTACGATTGACCAATTCTGGTCGCTTCTCCTTGATGGCTGTATTCAATTTGTCCAATTGTTGACAGTAAACATCCGAATTAATCGTTTGGTTCCTTGGAAGCAGCTCGAAATATACGACACCCTTCCAATCCCACCAAACAGACAGCATAACCTTCTTTTGGTGGATATAAGCCTTTGAAGTGGTTTGAGCTGGTTCACCATGCTTGGACCATAATCGTTTCCGACTAACGTTGTTGTAAACAATCCATTTTTCATCTCCAGTTATGACTCGTTTTAAAAACGGATCGAATTCATTGCTAAGGTACATATCACAAGCGTTTATTCTATGTTTTAAATGAATTTCTTTCAATACATGTGGTACTCAAATATCAAGCTTTTTCACCAGTTCAAGACTTTTTATGTGAGAATGAACGGTTGATTTTGGTATATTTAACTTCTCTCCTATCTCACGCTCAGTTACATGACGATCCAATTCGATTACCGCTTTGATTTGGTCATCATCAACTTCATTTGGCCGACCTGAACGTGGCTCATCTTTAAGTGAAAAATCTCCAGAACGGAATTTGCGAAACCAATTTTGACACTGTCTTCCTTTTAAGGCTTCATCACCATACACATCTCGTAACTTTTTAGCAGCCTGCTCCGCGTTTTTTCCTTTACGGAAATAATCAAGTAAAATATGACGAAAATGCTCCTTTGTGGGCTCCATATTAAAATTGACGCCAAACAAACAAATGTAAACAAAATTTCGCGCACTTTTTTTCTAAAGCAAGCTAAAAATAACAGCTGATAACTGACAGCAGAAAAAATGCAATTACAGAGTCACAAGCCGTTGAAAAAATTTGTCAACGCCGACTATATGAAAAATCCGCAATTACTTTTTGGGCAACCCAATACTTTTCTGCTCCTCATACAAAAAATTACTAACAGATAATATTACTAACTCAAATATATGACTAAACATAGAATATTGGTAACTATGAAAAAAAATATTGAATATACATATATGTAATTTGACAATGAATATTGCTAAATATAAAATTCTAGTGTGTATGAAAAAAATTCGCTAAACCTTAACTAGTCAATTGCAAAATAAAATATGGCTAAACACAAAATAAAGCTAAATGTCACCATTATTACATTATACATAAAATATTTTTAAAAATAATTTTTTTAATGAAATTTTGTTAAAAATTAAAATTAATTAAGCAAATGACATGAGATAAGAATCGTTATAAACGAAAGATTGCTAAATATAGCTAAACATGAAACATTGCTAATTATCAATATTCCGAAAATAGTGCATTTGTGCAAAAAAAAATTTTGTTCACGTCATGTTATGACATAAAAAATTTTTACATGAAAATATGCTAAAAACAGTATATGCATGAAAGGCTGATTTTGATGTAAAAAGTGAGCTGAAGGTACTCATAAACAAAAAATATTTCTGGGCATAAAATATTTCTTTACGATAAATGTTGCAAACCATTAAAATATATAGAGCCATGTTTAATATTATTAAAATTTTAAATATTTCTGACAATGAAATACTGTATCGTATAAAGAAAAAAAATTGTAACATCGGTATTTTTTTTATTAGTAAAAATGTTCACATATATAATGCTGAAAATTTAATAATTAATTTAATTTTTCATAGCTATTCGTGAAAATCAAAAATTTTATTGTATTACATAATTTATGTAATTTAATTTTTCATAGGTCGCCAAACTTCTGACAGGTACTGTAGTCGCGTAAGTATTTAACAGCTATTCGTGAAAATCAAAAATTTTTATTGTATAACATAATTTATGGAATTTAATTTTTCATAGGTCGCCAAACTTCTGGCAGGTACTGTAGTCACGTAAGTATTTAACAGCTATTCGTGAAAATCAAAAATGTTTATTGTATTACATAAAAGAACGTGAATATATACTCGTATACATGTATGTATACATATACGTGTATACGAGTATATATTCACGTTGTTTTATGTAATTTAATTTTTTATAGGTCGCCAAACTTCTGACAGGCACTGTAGTCGCGTAAGTATTTAACAGCTATTCGTGAAAATCAAAAATTTTATTGTATTACATAATTTATGTAATTTAATTTTTCATAGGTCGCCAAACTTCTGACAGGTACTGTAGTCACGTAAGTATTTAACAGCTATTCGTGAAAATCAAAAATTTTATTGTATTACATAAAACAACGTGAATATATACTTGTATACATATACGTGTATAAGAGTATGTATGTAAACATGTATTTGTATTTAAAGATAGTTGAGGAAGTCAGCACGTGATTCTAAATACATATGTTATATGTTTGTATTCACATGTGAGGTCCAAAGTATGGTTGAAATCTAGAATTCGTGTCGGCCAGCCTTTTGATTTCTAAAAACCAATTCTACAAATTCTGACGTCGATCGATCATTAATCGCATTTATTGCTTGCCTTTTCACAAGCCGCTTACTTGCATAATACGCTCATTAGTCATTATAATGCATTGCAAACGAGTCCGTACATTCGAGTACATGCATGAAAATTAAATGTGGCAACGATTTCTGAATCTCAAATTACGCTCTTTAGATTTGTAGGGGCTTGTCCGTAACAAAATAAATAAAGAGTCAGTGAGAAATGTCAGAAAACGTCATCAAACATATGCATATATATATATATATATATGGCTTTGTGAATATACAAGTTCTTGTTTGTATGTATGCATATGTAAGTTGGCATGAGCTATATCGTCGCTCGTAGCTTTATCATCAAGTACATGCTTATGTATATATATGTTTAGAAAACATTGAGATTAGATAGAATAGGCATACATACACCAGTGCATGGCAGCAGTTGATAAAAGTAGTTTTGTATTGTAGGTACTGCTTGACTGTTTCATTTCGATTCATTTCTACAACAGCTTTTAAATCTATGTTAAATATTAAAATAAAATATCGATGATGGAATTAAAATAAAAATATATATATATATATTTAAAAAAAAATGAAATAAAATTAAATTAAATAAAATAAATTGATAAAAA